GGAATCGGTCCACAGGATTCTGAAATATGACATTGGATAGACTGACGCACGGACAGACGAACACACGGACGGTCGGATGGACTTCCTCAGGAACTCACGGACGGTCGGGGACATGTATTCTAACATGTATGATCTCTGTACTAAATTTGAATGAAAACTGACAAAGCATGTCCAAAATACGACATTTTCAAAAAACAAGATGGCTGCCAGTTGGTCATTTTGAATCGAATCGCTAAACCACTGCATGTGCACATGTCCCACATAAAGTACTAGGCACATGCAAAGAATGAACAGAATCGGTCCAAGGGATTCTGAGATATGACTCCGGACGGACGCACAGACGCACGGACGGATGGAGACAGAATTATAAGTCCCCGTTTTCGGACTTCGTCCGAACGGGGACTAAAAACTGTTCATGTGATAAAAAAAAATATTCAGTATATTTTTAATTTTCTTCGTAACGGAAAATATATTCTGACAGAAGTTTCAAATAAAAACAAACATGAATGCACTGCTTAGTAGAAAATGATCATGGTACAGCACGGTTACTAAAAAAGTACGGTATTGTGGGTACGGTAATGCAATCCAGCCATGCTTCGGGCTCACAAGTGAATAACTTTCTTGTTTTCGAAGTGTTGAAATTGTTGATTATTACTCAGTGGTTATTATAATAAGCACGAAAAATAAATTCGTTGAATTGTTATGAAATGCAAGTAAAATTCAACTTAGTTTCATCCTAAGCGAATTCTTTCGGTCACATGTAAACGATTGATGCAACACGATATCCGCCTTGTTATTTGAATGCACACGAGACATGTATCTTGACCAGATAGGTCAAGTCGCTAATTAACCAATCAAAATGCTGGATGGTGCCCACGTGTTCAAATTACCTTGAACATGTTAATGACAGTTCAGCGACCTCATGGTGAACACAACACGAAAGAGATTTACCGATAATGTAGTGCGATCTTTTGGCTTTGACTTCCGTGGGAAAACGACATGATTTTTTTTTAAATCAAGAAATCAGTTGTTTTCAAAAGATAAACTGAGCATCGAAAAAGAATTTAACAGTTTTACGGTGATAACAGCTCATTGTCAAAAACTTGCGACGTATTCATAAGAGTTTTGACAAAGGTTGTTGCAAGAACAAAAGCAGTTTCACAGCGTGTCTGACATCTTATCACTGCTGAACAATAAAGAGGTGTGAATATTTTTAGGCATGTTGTCGAAACAAATGAATAGGATTAGGAACAATGCTGTTTGGACCAGCTGGTCGAAACAAAGTCAGACACGGTCTTGTTGAATTGGGGGTGCGGTAAGTAGTAGGTACTTTTCAATTTTTGTTAAGAACTCTTTAACCCTGAAGCCGAAATCGGGGGTGCGGTTACTAATATGTATGCGGTTTATATTAGGATTTTAACGGTACTATTTATTTTACATTCAACTTGTCAAAAATCAATGAAAATAAATTTCATACAAAACACCCAAATTGTCTTTTCAGCCAAAATTAATTCCAGCTAAAACAAGCCATGCATGGCACAGTCCCTGTTAGTTATCAAATTTAAGAAATATAGTTTTGTTTATAGTAATATAGCTGGAATATAAACATGTCAGGAATATGATTATGATGATTGTTAACATTAAAATGATTGACATTTGTATCTGATCGTCAAATGAGTATTGAGAGATATTGCTCTGGAACAGCATTAATAAAAACAAAATCAGCCATTTTGAGTACAAGTATAATGAAAATATAAAATTTGAATATAGTCAGTCAAAGCATGTCAGAGATATGGCTCTAGAAGCCCATTCATTAAAACAAAATGGCCACTAGTCAGCCATTCTGAATCCGATCTAAAAAATAAAATAACATGCATCAGGAACCCGTAATGTCTAAT